GTGTGTATGGGGGAGTGTGTGTGTATGGGGGACAGTGTGTGTATGGGGGGGGGAAGGAGGCTTTTAAATAAAAAAAATTTATTTTATAAAATAAATATTCTATGTCCCCCCTCCCTTCTTACCTTTATTTAGGAGGAGGGGGGACATTTCCCTGGTGGTCCGGTGGGGGATTCATTGGTGGTCCCAGTGGTGAGAATGAACTCTAGCCCGCGCTCCCGGGCTAGAGTTCACTCTCGCAAGTTTTGGAGCGTTGCCGTGGTAACCGCGGCAACGCTCCAAATCGAGAGAGGAGGACCCGGAGGAGCTGCAGACTGAGCTCCGGTTCCTCTCTCTCACTCCCTCCCTCCGCCGCCGGCTGTCAGCACAGTGCCTGCGGACCTGGGAGGGAGAGCTCTGATCTTCCTCCCCGGTCTGCAGGCACATTGCAGGGCTGGCACTTGGGCAATGCCAGCCCTGCGTTAGCCGGCAGGGGGGAATATCGGGGGGGGGGGGGCAATTGCCCCGTTGCCCCCCCCGGATCCGCCAATGCATTGAGTGGGATGGATTGTTACATAGATAACCTTCCCCCTTACTGACAACAGGTAGGCAGCACAGACATCCAATATGTATGAAATTTCCATTGAATTAAACTTCTATTTGTACAGTAATGAATGCAATCACAACGTACCAAAACTGGTGCTGTGATGAGTTTAACTGCTTAAAGACTGCATGTTTTGCCAGGACTCACTTTTTTTGTTCTGACACCCAGGTCACATAATTCACACTAAAACTACACTTTTTTTTTTTTTTTTTATGTAATACATGAGTGCATTTAATGTACTTTAAAGGGACAATGCACTGCCCAAAAAAATAAAAAAATATTTAGTAAATATACCCCCAATGGAATGCATCTAAATATGCATTTTTTCATTTGGTGTTATATCTGAAAACAGCTTGTAAAATATGCATTTCTCTTGTCTGCTCCCTTTGCCTGTCATCCCCTTTTTGTCCCCGCCAAGACTTCCCCAGCTGTCCAATCACAGCCTTCAGGCTCTTGTGTTTAGCTCCAGTGAGCCAACCAAACCAGGAAGTAACAGGACAGGTTGTCTAATTTAAAATCAAAGGGGTGTAACTAGGTTAATTTATAAAAGTTAATTTCTATTTAAATCTGCACTTTTTGGTAAATTGACACTCTTTACACAAAGCTTTTCAGCAAGCTACCGTGCTTTAGGGGTCTGGAGTGTTCCTTTAAGTCTTTATTAAAATTCAGATTGACCATCTATCCAGTGACTGTTGTAAACTATTTAGTATATATACCCCCCAAAAACCATTTATTTTCTGTATGTTTTCTTTGGGGTATAGGGGGAAAATAGATTGCAAAATCTGCCTTTGCACGTCCTTCTATTGAAATCAGCACTTTGACACATTGCCAAAAAAAATGACAAATGCAGCCTGAGTGACAGCCAGGGAGCTGTTTCTGCTTATAGCTAAAAGTGCAGACTATTGAAATTGGTACCTCTAGAAACTGTAAAAAAAAAAAAACAAACAAAAAAAAACAATAACTGCAGAAACACAAAGTACTACTGCAAGCTTAGGTGCTGTGTGTGTCTGGAGTGTTACTTTGACATGTTCTTTCAATAGCTGCTGGTGGAGTATTGGATAATGGAGCAAAACAAACTTGGAGTTTAACCCCTTAAGGACACATGACATGTCATGATTCCCTTTTATTCCAGAAGTTTGGTCCTTAAGGGGTTAAAGGACCACTATTGAGCAAAAATTACATGGTGGTAATTGGGAGAGCATACGTTTTAATGTAAGCAATGCCTTTTTGCATTTATAGTGTATTCTATCTACACATGCTTCTAAATTAACATGTGACTGATTGCCTTTAAGTAAACAAAATAGCCACCACCAGAACTTGTTTTCATTTTGAAAAAAATAAATACTCAGATAAAAGCATCAAATCACATTTCTAGGTTTAGCATAATTACTACCTTCCTTACCATTTTTTTTTTTTTTTTTTTTACAGATAAAGTTGTCCTATAATATATTTCACGGCTACACAACTGAGAGAATACATAATCTGATTCTGAAATCTATACATTTAAAATAAACCAGTCACTCACAAAATGAGTGGATGACTAAATTCAGCACATTGTGCTGCCAAAATGTAGTATCAAATAAAACTAATCTGAAACCTCGTCAATGATTACCATTACATGTACCAGCCTCTGCATGTGGCATGCACAGGTACCTGTGGAAGCTAAATTTGTCAATTTCTCCATGTTGTTGACAGAGTAAAAAAGGAAATGTACTTATTTCCTAGCAATTTGGAAATCACAATGTATAACATTACAATTTCTTGTCCATGAAGTGATACCATGCCATTTGTGCACAATAAGTACACTTTACACTCAAATATTCTTATGTAAGACAAAATCATTAACTTTAACCCCTTAAGGACACATGACATGTGTGACATGTCATGATTCCCTTTTATTCCAGAAGTTTGGTCCTTAAGGGGTTAAATATGTTGCAACATTTCTTGCCCCAACCCCTTTTTTCATTACTGAAGATATAGCAAAGCAAGATTTACTTTATAAATCTATATCTTATACAACACATCTTCTAAAAAGAGCCATTTAAACCAAACATTTGTACATAAGCATTGTCCAAATGTTGTCTATAGCAGATGGATTCAGGAATTAATTCTAGTAGGCACTCAACATGTTAACCAAATCCACGGAACAGACTTTGGCATCACATTAAAAAGGCATTGTTCAAATCTATATATGTTTATAGCATAAATATATACAGTATGTCAAGAATCTTTTCAACAAATTACGATCTTGTATTGTTTTCTTTGTATAATAAGAAAAAAAAATTAGCCTATTGCTTTAAAACAGATATTTTTTTCTCTCATCTGAAAAGCAGTGATGTAACCATTATGCAGGGAAACGTGTACACAAAAACAAGTAAAGAAGCTATTTCATAGTCGAACGCAAATTAAAAATATGAACATAAAAACAACTTTAGTTTTTTTTTGTCTGTTTATGTAGCTAAGCACAGAATGATCCACTTTTATTTTTTTAAAGTCAAATAGATGAGGGCACCAAAATGAAAAATGTTTTAAGACATAAATTAATTTGTAGGATTTCTCTTTGCACTTTGTTCAGCTCATCACCAGCCACCTTTCCCTCCTTTCTTTTTCTTCTGCTGCTGCTTTTTCTTGGTGCCGCCAGCTCCCACGGGTTTTTGATGTCTGGGTGGAACAACATTGCTGGTTGATGCCCCACTTCCTGCTGTGCCAGGTCTTGGAGATGTAGGAGGGCTGCTTGCCGTTTTACTAGCATCACTAAATTGGTGAATGAAAAATGAACAGTTAGAAAGTGCTGCTTTTAACCGTACCCCCTTCTCTCACCCCACCCCAGCCCCCCAAAAAACTAACAAAAATGCCTTATCAAAGTTTCATAGGGATACCACAACAGCCTATATAACCAAGCGAAACAGGCGATATACCAGGAACATGGACAGATTTATGGCTCCTGCCGATCCAACTACTATATAATATGTATAATATGTGCCAAACATGCCAGTGCAATATATACAAATATTACTCTAAATAGGCAACTACAGAGCATAATTTGTAGGAGATATACTTGTGCAGACAAAACATATAGGATTCCATCCAGCGATCAGTAAGCTGAAAGAAGCCGTAGTGTGATGTCCATCAGTCTAAGCAGCAGTTTTATTTATTCTGTCAGATGAATTGAAGTGTTGCTGGTGCAGAACTTTATATCCCCCATCAGGGGTTCGTGGTATATGCTCAGTTGCACTAAATACCAAAGGTAAGCTAGGATTGTAGGGGGTATATCAGTTGCTTTTCCTAGTCTGACCATAGCTTTATGTAGGAAGCAACAAACCTATGGGAACCTTTGAAATGTCCCAATGTTTGTTTGTTGCTTCCTGCAGAAAGCATTGGTCTTCCTTTTTCATGTCTCTATACCAGCGTTTCCCAAACCAGTCCTCAAGACCCACCAGCAGTCCAGGTTTTGATAGTATCCCCATTGGAATAAAACAAGGAAATACATAAATCCTGGACTGTTGGTGGGCCATGAGGACTGGTTTGGGAACCACTGCCCTATACAATGCCTATAAAATGCATAAAGACAACTTCAAGGGACACTATAGTCACCAGAACAACTACAGCTTAATGAATTTGTTCTGGTGAGTAGAATCATTACCTTGAGGCTTTTTGCTGTCAACACTGTATTTTCAGAGAAAATGCAGTGTTTACATTACAGCCTAGTGATAGCTTAACTGGCTACGCCTCAGATGGCTGTTAGAGATCCTTCCTGGGTCATGGCTGCCTAAAATGCATCCAAACATTCAGTGTCTCCTCCCTCTGCATGCAGACACTGAACTTTCCTCATAGAGATGCATTGATTCAATTCATCTCTATGAGGAGAAGCTGATTGGCCAGGGCTGTGTTTGAATTGTGCTGGCTCTGCCTCCTTGTCAGTCTCAGCCAATCCTGTGGGGAAGCATTGTGATTGGATCAGGCTACCACTTCTGATGATGTCAACAGGCAGGTCAAAAGGAAACAGGAACAAATCCTGCAGCTTCAGGCTTGAATACAAGTAAGATTTTACTATATTTAGGGAGGCATGAGGGGGTCAGGACGGTGGTTTTAACCCTATAGGGTCATGAATACACGTTTGTGTTCCTGACCCTATAGTTCTCCTTTAAACGGGTTCTTGAAATCAAACAAGGAAAAACTAGGAGCAAGCTAAAGAAACTTGCTATGTATATACCACTCTGCCTATGGTAACACACATTGTCATCAACACAGGGAAACTTGCGGATGTTTGTGAGTGACACAAGAAACGACAGAGGACATTTTATAAGATCTATGACATTCTCAAAACATAAATTTGTTTAACTTACCACACTGAACACCATTCATCTGTCCAGTTTATTATGCATTTATTAGACCTTTTTTCTATGTTCATTAGTAGCAGCAGTCATTACATTTACAGAATATACGAGTAACCATAGTTTTAATTGGATCCTATTAAGCCATAAAACATAAGTTGAGCAGAATGGCCATTTGACCATCAATACTTACAATTCAGCAGTTGCAGCCGCTGTAGCTCCTTGAGTCCCTTTACCAATCTGATCCTTCTTCTTTCCCTTCTTCTTGCCACGGTAATATGAGCGTTCCCGCATTGGAAGCCACCTTTCTGCATCTGGTGTAACTTTAGGGTCATAATTCTTGGGCAGTTTACCTATATTAAATAATATTTTTTGTTAATTAATAAAAATATTATAGATATATGTAAGAATGAAAATGTAATGCATAACAAGCTTAGTGTTTCTCTTATTGAAATCAACAAAAACTGAGTGTGTGCTGAATGGCTCCTAACATTTCGGTGGGAGACCCAAAGATGGCGAAACAGACACTCTTTCAATGCATTAAGTATTACAGGTTGCCAATTTTAGGCTGTACTTACTGCAATAATTTCCCTATATTGATTTTATTTACTAAAAGTATTTTTCATTGAAATTGAATACTTTGTGATTCTTTTTTCCAAATTATATAACAAATACTAAATACTCTTAATGATACAAAACATGTAAGTGCGTTAATATGTAGTAATGGTACTCGCATATCTGCTATTTTAGTGTTAACAGGGGCTATATCCTTTTTGGTAGTGAGAAAATACACGTATAAAAAAACAAAAGAACCAGTTCGTGTTTACCTTTAAGGCATAGCTGAAAGTGATTGTGCTGGTTTGTGCATGCTGCCCAGTATCGATCACAAGGTGATCTGACAGGGAGAGCAGGACATCAGCTAAGGGAACTCCTCTGGATTAGAGGTTGATGTCGGGAATAGGTTTATGAGATTGTTTAAGATTATAGGAATTTGGGGTTGGAGTATACTGGTCTTCAAAAGGTCATGGACTTTAACTGCACAGCCTGTCTGAAAGTGATGGAAGTTACAGTTTATAGTGTCTTAACTGGGACACTCTGTAACCCTAAAGCATTTCATGGCTTACTGAAATGCCTAATGTGTCCTGTTTTTTTCATTTTACACAAAATGCAGATTTCAATAGAATTTGGTACTTTTGTAAATTTACCTTGTTACACCCCACGGGCTTTCAAGCATTAAACCGGTTATTTTACTTTCTGATTTAGTTAGCTCAGTGGAGCTAAACTCAAGAAGCAGGCAATTGCTCAGAGAACGTGCCTTGCAAAACATCAAGAGGTACCATCGAAGCTACCCAACGCTAAACTCTAATCCAAATGTAATAAACCTGGACCATGGCACAGGGGCAAACTGCATCCAGAGTAATTACAGCACCATGAACAGTAATGGTTACAAGTTTGTAAAGTAAGAATGAATTTGCATGCAGCAGGAAGCATCATTATAAAGAGAATGGTGCTCACAAAAACTGATAAATGGGACATATATGACCAATTGTAACAATCCGTGATGGATTGTGTGAGGGACCAGTCAGGCATAATTTAAAATGCATTTCCATAGTAAATCAAATAGTGGAAAATCTTGCCTTTCTTTTTCTTCTTCTTTTTCTTCAGGTCCCCTTGCCTATGGTAGAAAAGCATAGAAAAAAAGTGTTTTTGGGGAGGAATTTACATTTCATTAGTCACCATCTTAAAATGTCATAACACGACTGGTAACTTGCACTAACCCACACCTAACTGCCTAAGAACAGTACACAGCAAAGTAAAATGGATTAACTGTAATCTTTATATTGCAATTCAGCAAAAAGGCACCAACACACACATTAACACTGAAATTAAACTGAACCTGTCAGCAATGGGTCACATTTGGTACACTTGCAGCTTATTTCTACACAGTCAGCAAAGATGTAGGTTAGAAACAGGGCTTCTTTTCTGAAGTATGAGAAATGTCATCTACAATGTACTAGCCAATATCTTACCGTTAGTAGCCTAAATCTTTAGGTCTTCAGCATACAATTATAAACTGCCAACACGGCAACGATTTTGCTAGGCATGCAAATATCACTATTATGCTTCAGTATGCTGCAAGTATAGGGCACAATGTATTACAGAAGAGTGTTGAGGATATTGCATGCAAGCATATATAGTCTCTGCACATACAATAAAAAAGCTAAACATATCTGGCCAGTATATTTTCTCATTTTACACCTAGCATGCTCCAGTCTAGAGATTTATTTCTTTGTTTAGCATAGCCAGATTGTCACAGATACAATGTAGTTAAATTGTGCAACGTTAGGATTCATAATTATTTTGACTATTTAATTTTAATTTAATCTGTTTTGCATTTGCCTTTTTAAATACATGGCTATTCCTCTCATTGGCCTTTGTTAGGCCATCACAATATGACGGACATGTTCTGCAAAGAGTTGTGAATGTTAATTTCCTGCCAGCACAAAGATTTGTACTCATCCAAAATTTTTGCTGCGGAATAAAAGGGGTATTTAAGTAGATTATTTTGCATACATCCCTCTTTCCTTTCTAGAGGAAGTGTTTATTGTTGTGAGATTTACACTGCATTCTCTACAATACAGAATCAGTGTTAGATACAGTATTTAAAAAAAAGATTCCCCAAAATCATACCCTTGTTCTTTGGTTTGTTCTCCAGCAATTTTTGCTGCCTTTTTCCGTATAAATGTTGCACCAGTAGAGTTTTCCAAGGCATCAACATCCACTTTCAAGGTCATGGTGTCAGAAGGAGGCAAATGTTTACTAAGTCTGATTTTATGCTGCTAAGGAAACTGAAGCAGGTCATCAGTTAAATGTAAACAATGTATATACTGTATGCCGTCTATAACAAAAATATGACGTTTACTTGTCAAAAATAAATAGACGTTAAACCAACAACATTTGCTAGGCTAGACTAAACACTAAAAGCGTTATCCAAACGTCCATGACAACGTAATGTGTATGAAAGTTTGAAACACTGCACATCCAGAGAGATTTGCCCTTTTGTGCCAGGGTCTAGTTGCAAGTCCTGTACATGTGACTGGCAGCCTGGAATTCTGTTCTGGGCTGCCTAATGTCAATTCTGTGCAAATGTAGGCTGTTGTCAGCATGCAGACACTCTCTGCTTGCAGGTTCTGTGTCTGTGAAGCTTGTGTCTCCACTCTCTCCCTCACTGCAGCCCTCCGCCCTCCATACAGCTTCCGTCAATATAAATTTAATACATACACTATAAATATATATATTTTTAAAATTTGATTTCAAAGAAACAATGCAAGACGACCCATTAACTGGAGGCTTACACTCAAATTGAACTTTATGTCTTCAAACTTCAGTGATTCTCTTATAAAGCTATGATTTATGCAAAAAAGGATACACTTTTGCTTTCTCGGCATCTACAAGTGAGTAAGCAGAGATGAGCTGAGCCAACGTATGAATGTCTTTTGGATTCTGTCTGTAAAGCAATGAAACACGTTTAAATGTAAGGTGGAAATATAATTTAAACTGTGCACACTTGAAATACTGTACAGTGGTTAGATGGTATATACACACACAAGGAAATACAAGATAATTTGGAATACATAGAATAAGAGGCAATTAAGGCCCAGCTCAAACAAACTTACATGCTAAAGATGATGGAGTAAAATTACAGGGTTGTTGTACAGTACATACTATTCAAATTAAAATGGGTTGATAAATATATTAAAGGGACACTATAGTCATCTGAACAACTTCAGCTTAATGAGGTTGTTCAGGTGAGAACTATAGCTCCCTGCAGCCTCTCATGTAAACACTGTATTTTCTCAGAAAATACAGTGTTTACATTGAAAGCTAGGAACACTTCCAGTTGCAGTCACTCAGAGTGAACCAGAGGGACTTCTGAGTTGATGGAGGCATAATATATACTCCATCCACTCAGATCTGCTGTGCACGAGCATCCTGTGATTCAGTATCTCCTCCCACTGCATGCAGACACTGAACTTTCCTCATAGAGAATCATTGATTCAATTCATCTCAATGAAGAGATGCTGATTGGCCAGGGCTGTGTTTGAATCATGCTGGCTCTGCCCCTGATCTGCCTCCTTATCAGTCTCAGCCAATTCTATAGGGAAGTACTGTGATTGGATCAGGCTATCACATGTCAACAGACTTCCGCTGGGCATGGGCACAGCTAATTGGCTTAGGGAGTCAGCTGACTACTCTAACCCAATCAATAGCTCCCCAATCATTAAACACTTTTTTGGATTCAATGCATTTTTCAAAGCTTGCCACACATGCACTTCGTGCCCACAATGCTGCAAGTAAAAACAAAATAAAAAAGGGTGGTAAGGGAGGGGCAATATACATTTTTAGAACAAAAAAGGGGTTTGCGTATGTGTGTGTGTGTGGGGGGTGACAGAGGTCATTGTTATGGCGGGAACATGTAATGTCCTCCAAAAAATATTACTTTCAGGATTATATAGGGGTGGTTTTGTTTGTGTGAAAATTCCAAATAGGCTTTCATGTATCGTGCAGTGAGAAGAGGCTTCTGTTTGGCCAATCTGCTATAAAGGCAAGTTTCTCCCACCTACACATATGATCTCTGGACCTCACCCAGAGTGAGAGTTCTGTCTGTTCCGAACTACTTCCATTTAAGAATTATGGTGGCCACTGTGCTGTTGGGAACCTTGCAGCTGCAAATTGATTTTCCAGTCTTCCCCAGATCTATGCTTCAACACAATTCTTTCTGTGAGCTTTGTAGGCAGTATTCATCATAGCTTGGTTTTTGCTCTGATATGCATTTTACAGCTGTGAGACCTTAGACAGATTTAATTAAACCTGCGGCACTGATTTGAATCAATCACAATGCAGAAACATCTCAAAGATATCAGTTCTATAGACACATGATGCATCTGAGCTAAATTTGAAGCACCATAGCCAAGGGTCTGAGTAGTAATGTCAAAGTAATATTTAAGTTTTTTTTATTTTTAATACATTTATTACGTTTTCAAAAATCTGTTTTTGTGTGCATGTGTGTCATTATGGGGTACTGAGAGTAGATTGGTGTGTAAAAAAACAAAAAAAAAATAATAATTGAAAGATTTGTAATATGAGGTTGCAACATAAAAATGTGAAGAAAAAAAATGAAGGCGTATGAAAGTTTTCTGAATGAACTGTATATACACAATACTTGCTTTGGAACTTTACTAATATTAATGCTTTTCTTTAGTGGAGTGAGGTCAAGTAACTATATGATTTACGGTTATTTCTAGTTTACTGAGTTTATTTTGTGCGAAGATTCAAGATACTTGTACCTAGATACCCATTAGAGCAGGCTTACGCAAACTCCGGCCCTCCAGATGTTGCTGAACTAACACTCCCATGATTCTCAGCCTATTTCATTCACAGAATCATGGGAGTTGTAGTTCAGCAACATCTAGAGGGCCGGCGTTTGGGGAAGCCTGCAGTAGAGTATCAAGTCGGCTTTATTTTTTTTAGTGAATCAATATTACACAGAGATTTATTATTGTTATTTCTGTCCAGGTGGTTAATTATATTGTTGTAAATAGTTACTACAGTGTATACAAGCTATTACACTTACTTCCATAATTGTTCAAGATCATTGATAGCTTCTTTTTTCCTTCCATGCTTTAGTTTGAAATTAGCAGCTTCTCGTATTAAAGACAAATGTGTTGGAGAGTTTGGCTGTCAAAAATATAAAGACAGTGAAATAAGAGAAAACACAAAATGCAACACATTTCTTAATACCCTGTCAATATATACTATTGGCTCAAACAGTGTCCCCCACTTTCCTTAGGCGAGTTATTAATGTAATTACTCCGTAGTTTCGCTTTCAAATTAATAAGTGTACATATACGAGAACCACAAACAGCTTCTCATTCACTTGATAAGAACTGACAAAACAGCTTGGGCAAATGAATGTAATCCAAAAGTCAAGTTCTCTTGAAAGATTTCACATTTTGAGAAGTTTATATGGAAAATACAACTATTGAACTCCTGCAAATGAGGGCTCTAGGTCTCAACACAGAGCACAGAGACACCAATAAACACATCACCAACATGCCATAAACTCTATTTTGTAAGTGACTCACTTGATTTTCCTGATACCAGCTAATAGCCTGTGAGAATACTTCAATGGCACTGTCGATGTCTTCATCATGGCTATGCATAGTAACTAGAGCAGACACCTTAAAAAAAAAAAAAAAAAATGAAATATTAAAAACTATAGTCAATTATACGGTCTGTTAATGCCCAGTGTGCAGATTAAAGGACCACTCTAGGCACCCAGACCACTTCAGCTTAATGAAGTGGTCTGGGTGCCAGGTCCAGCTAGGGTTAACCCATTTTTTCATAAACATAGCAGTTTCAGAGAAACCGCTATGTTTATGAATGGGTTAAGCCTTCCCCTATTTCCTCTAGCTGCTGTCTCATTGACAGCCGCTAGAGGCGCTTGCGTGCTTCTCACTGTGATTTTCACAGTGAGAGCACGCCAGCGTCCATAGGAAAGCATTATGAATGCTTTCCTATGTGACCGGCTGAATGCGCGCGCAGCTCTTGCCGCGCGTGCGCATTCAGCCGACGGGGAGGAGAAGAGGAGGATCAGAGGAGGAGAGCTCTCCGCCCAGCGCTGGAAAAAGGTAAGTTTTAACCCCTTTCCCCCTTCCAGAGCCGGGCGGGAGGGGGACCCTGAGGGTGGGGGCACCCTCAGGGCACTATAGTGCCAGGAAAACGAGTATGTTTTCCTGGCACTATAGTGGTCCTTTAAATTTATTCAGTAAAAAAAAAAAAAAAATTACAATTTATTAAGGATTGTTGTGTCTCTCTTACTGGACTTTCTCTTATGGAAAAAACAGTCTAATATACTAATGGAGATGTTTTATCTGGAACTGAAGAAGTGTGCTTAAATTCCTAAACAGAACTACTTATACAGTAAGCTACAGTTTGTATTCAATAATGCATAAGGGAAGCTGGAAAAATCAGCACAGAAAGACAAAACATACAGAATGCTGTATAACTGCATAATGAACAAACATTGCTGAAGAAAATGAGAAACAAAATACATATGTATTATGCAAACAGTTTTGTATGTAATTACCAAAAGAATCATTAAGAATATGTCCCGCATTTTTAATAATGCTGGCATCTGTGCTCAACATTTCAAGTCGTACATTATAAGCCAGGCCTAAACTCCTGGTTAGTGTGCAAGACATGGCACACTTAGCAGGAGTGACTTTCTACTTGCTGAGGCTGAATTGTCAATCGCCAGTGGCTACTGGAAATTTTGAACCCTGGCTGGCATATTAGAAAACGTAACATATCCATTGTAGGTCACAAGATCATACCAATTTATTCATACTAGTTACTCACCATTCCGAGCTTATGCTCGAGTTCTTTAATGCTTTTGAGAATCATGCAGGCCTTGGTGACATTACCTATATTTAAACACAAACAATTTTACAGAGTGCTTTTATTTTACTAAATCTTGCATCTTTAAAGGAAAAATCGATTTTAACACTAGAGTATTTCCACATACCAGTCACACAGAAAAAACCCAAAGTTCCTCACACAGTGCTCCCTCTATTGTATTAGATCACATTTCAAATGCAAAACGTATAGCACATATTTCATTTTAGATGTTGATTCTTCTTATGGGAAGCTGGCTGTAGCAGCAAGACAGAGACCTGCACTATATTAGCCAACATGTTGGTGCCCAAGAGGGGTAAAAGCATGTCCAGTTTGATTTTATTTACCATGTTAACCCTCTGGCAACTATTGTTCTAAACAGAGAGAATAATAGAATTAAGCTGTAACATCAATCATATCTCTTTAAAAAAACAAAACAAAAAGCAGTTTACAGTAGTTGTAAGAGGGAATGTGTAACAATTAAAATGTCTTTCTATGGCTATGGTGACTGCTACTACATACCTTGTGCAAGTTTCAGCTGGGCCATGGTTAGCTTGAGTTGTGCTGCATTTAGGGGATACTGATCTGCAAATTCCTAGTAAAACAAACAAAAAAAAATTTATTCTCTTCTTACTCAGTTAAGATACAAATGCAACATTTTGCCGTCATACTTTCAAGTACTTATGCCACCACAGAATGTCCTGTTTATGAATAAGCCAAAGTATAGAAAAGAAAAACCAAGGGGTAAACTGTTTAGTAGGTGAGCCCCTTTGGAAAGTGAGTAACCCAAATTAAAACGTAACTTTTAATAAATATAGTAAAAGAAATGAGTAAAAAAATAATAAATCAAATATAAAAATAGTCAGCAGAATAAATATAACTTCTGCCTGTATAAGGAGAAATAAATTCCCCATAGGTGCATAAAGCACAGAGTATACAAAGTATCTGAGTAATACTCTCAAAATAAATATTCAGAATGAATAGATAGAAAATTAAATAATAATTGAAGCAAGAAAAAAAATATAAATGAATAAACTCAAAAGAATATAGATATCAGTCCAATAATGTCTCACTGTCAAAACCGTGATAGTTGGAAGCTTAGAGGGACTACTGCAAGGAATTGATACAGGATTAGCAACAAATGTAACTACAAGCTGAAAGTCACATATGTTGCTTGTCAAATAACCCAGACAGGGGAGATAACAAATAGTAGAAAAACTGTTAGTCCTGCCAGAGATCGAGGTGGTTATCGAGGAGAGAAAGTGAATAGGAAAGACTAGCTTCCCTACTCTGCTGTGCCTTCGAGGGCACCCCTTACAAAATGCTAGTAACCCCCTCCTCTTTTCGAAGTTAAATAAATGCAGTATGGTAAACAAAAAATGATAAAGAAATAAAAGATAAAATAAATCTTGTATGGGTGGTGTAATCTAATAGTATCAAGGCATGTTCCCTTATCAACTGGACCAACACCATACAGAGTAATGTCCCGATGCGCGTTTCGCCGTTAAGGCTCTTCCAGGGAAGTCCTGTTTATGAAGCATCACTAGCTCTGTAGAGTAATATGTCACATATTACATAAATAATTTTATACACACACACACAATTCTGGAGAAAAAGAAGAGATCATTCCAATTTGTTCCTAAATTGCCATCTCTACATGCATGATAGCAATTCCATTTCAGTTGCTGTTGAATTCTAACACAGGCACACCTCTTCAACGTAACGATGTACTGATTAGATGATTACCTGAACCAAAGCTTATAGAATGAAGAAAAGTACAGAAAAACTATAGAAAAATTTACCTCAAAAGTAAATTGAATCAAAAAGTAACTATTGACCAAACCAAAAGAGTTGAAAAGAAAGGTTTTGAGTGAGGAAAAGGGTTTAATTCTGCCTTTACTAGCAGAAAAATACGGTAAGCGTCTAGTTGCTTCCATCGTCAAATTTCAAAGACAAGGTTGCCAAGAACGAGGTCAAGCAGCAGACATTGGTGACAACAAACAGATCGGCAGAGGGTAAATACAATTCTCCACTGACGGGGATGACCACCAGCTCATTCGAATATCACTCAACAACTATAGGACGGCATCAGGTAACTTCCAAAAATGTAATGGCAAAGTGTATAGTGAAAACCGTTTGAAATTGCCTTCTGGGTGCAGGGCTGAAGTCGTGCAAAGGAAGAAAACAAAATAAGGATTCCTCCCCAGCAGGGCAATGCTCCATGCCACAGAGCAAGGACAATCAATGTGTGGATGGAGGACCACCAGATTAAGACCCTGTCACAGCCAGCCCTATCTCCAGACCTGAACCCCATTAAAAACCTCTGGAATGTAAGCAAGAGGAATATGCAGTGGTGTATCCTGGTTTTGTGCTGCCCTAGGCAGGACAAAACTCAGGCGCCCCTCTCCCCCCGTGCCACCCCCACCCAACCCTTCCCCCCCTTCTAAATGCAAACACACACACACACACACACACACACAGTCAGACACACTAACTTTTTTTCAACCCCCCCCTTACTTTTAGGAGTGCTGGGGGGGGTGTCTCTCTCTCCCTGGTGGTCCAGTGGCTGCCGGTCGGGCTGGGCGGCTGGCGAGGGAGCTCTTCCTCCGAGCTGACTGCTCAGCTCCCTCGCGCGCCGCAGAGTGAGGCTGGGAGCTGGAATATGACGTCAGAGGAAGAGCTCCCTCGCCAGCCGCCCGCACAGCTACCAGCGCCACCAGCTCGCCCTGCATGTCAGTTAGCCGCGAGGCTAACTAGGCATTTGCCCTGGGCATTTGGGGGGCGGCGTTTTTTGCCGCCCCCTGAAAAATGCCGCCCAAGGCAAATGCTTTGTTTGCCTCGCGGCTAATACGTCCCTGGGAATATGGATGGTCAGAAACCATCAAACAAAGCCTGGGTTCTTGTAGGCATAAAGTCATCCAACAGCAATACTAAAGACTGGTGGAAAGCATGCCAAAAAACTTACTTCAAATATTTAACTCTTTCAAAGTTAAAATATTATCATTGTGTTTAAAAATGGATATAAACCAGTTTGGTTTGATGTGCATTAATAAAGGGTCTGAACACACTTTTTTTTTTTTTTTAAACCAAACAAATAATCAGATACCTAAAGGAACACTACTTAGGATCTATGCACCAGTAAAGACACTCCAGCTGTGTCTGCAGGGCTTAACCCTATAATATATGGATAGCAGAAAACCAAAAGAAAATTGAAGTCTCTCAAACCAAAACAAAGTGGGTGAGTGAAAGCTAGACAGTAGTTAAGTATCGTGTTACGTTTAGCTAGATAACCCTATACTCCCATTATGAGTTAGTGGAGAAGCCTTAAAAGGCTAGTTCTGGATGACCCTATACTCCCATTATGAGTTAGTGGAGTAGCCTTATAAGGTTAGTCATTTTCTTACTTTGTTTCTAGTTTTGAGACGTGTGTGTATATATGTACATTTAGTGCTGGTCCAGCTAAACTTAAGATACTTACCTACTGTCTAGCTTTCACTCACCCACTTTGTTGTGGTTTGAGTGACAAATTTTTTTTGTTTCCTTCTATTCGCTTTTTTTTTTGTTTGACAATTTTTCTTTTTGGTTGCAAATAAATTCTTAAAACAATATATTTTATTGGAATTTGGGAGAAATGTTAGTAGTTTATAGAATAAAAAAGTAAATTTTACTTAAAACACATACCTATAAATAGTGAAAAACAAAATCTGTTTGACTACCCAACATGGGACAGGATGGAATGGACCAATGGCTGTAGTGGTTATGCTTAAGGCTGACACTTAATTTCTGATAAAATGTAAAATACTATAGCTAAAATAAGAAAGCATTTGCAATGCTCCAAACCTTAATCCCCATCACGATGGATGTTACAAAAGGTTATAAATGCAGGTATAGATTTAGTCATACCTGAAGCAAATCTACTGCTCTTGAGTGTTGCTTTTCTCGACATAGCTGGGCAGCTTGAATGAGTACTGGAAGAAGATACTCTGGATTTTGTGCCTGCAAACCGGTGGCTAATTTTCGACATTGTTCTGCCTAAAGAATGCAGAAAATAGCTCATTTTATGGAAGTCATAAATCAATAAGCACAAACATTATACGACTACAAACATTCAGACACAATTAAACTAATTAGAAATGAAGTTTTACATTCACATTTCATACCTGATTTGTGTACATTGAAAGTAAAGCCTTGTTAAATTCAATAGCCTGAAGTTGATGCTTAGAAAGTTTGTGCTCCACTCCTTCAGCATTTGTAAGCTTCACCTTCTTTTTAGAATCAAATACATTTTGGTCCTTAAATGCAAAAACAGTAACAATAAAACAAGTTTTTAGGATTTTTCTAGGAAATAAGCCTCAAGATCTCACTCCATGAACAAAATGATAATATAACTTTCATAACACAATTCTGTTCATTAGTGCATGTAAACAGGGCCTGGAAAACAACTAAAAAAAAAAACAAAACGGTCATGAACTATAATATTGCAGTAATGTCATAAAAATGATCAATGTTTGGAAGAAAGTTGCTTTCTGAGATATACCTTGTTAACAGTTATGATGTTATTTGCCACAACAGCCAACAACCCAATATCAGTAGGCCTGTAAGAGAAATAAAGGATTTAAAATTGAATGAGAAACAAAAATCTTAAATCAAAACAAGGAGTTTGACGGTTATCTTACTTTAATTTGATGATTTGATTGTAAAGTTGAATAGCGTCCTCTGATTTGCCTTGCAATTGCAGAACATATGCCATCTGACCATGAATTATGGCCAACTCTGCTTCTATGTCTTCTTCAGAAAAATCCTAAAAAAAAAAAAAAAAGCCAGTATAAAATTTACACCATTAAGTACAGATTCACATATAATAAGTTCTGAATAGGAGTAAGTCATAAGATGATATGGCAATGTTTGAAGATTGGATGGACCTTAGCAGTGATATTGGATATGTACCAAATAAAACTATTACAGAACTGCAGTTAAAAGATAACCCCCCCAATGCAACATAGGGACCATTTCAGTAATTCAAATGGCCATGGTGCCTGTAATCTATACATGCAGCATTTCGATTTGAATCGCTACACACAGATTATCCACTTTGCTGGCTGAGGTGTAATTCCCCCGACATCAGCATCACAGGGACGTAATTAGCCAGCCAGTTCCTATGCACAGGATTGCATTAATTGGAGAGTGGTCAGTTGATGCTTTCGGTTAATGTATGGCCAGTGGGATAGACTTTCGGTTTTTGCAGGTCTGGCCGACTGCTGGTTTGCCCCATTATTGAGAAACAGGGAAAGGTTACACCTGGCATCATTGCCACTACAGCAGGCTGAAGTGGTTATGATGCTTCAGGTAACCCTTTAATTGGCTATTTGGTGTCATGTTAAATGACGTGACAACTTAAAGCATAGTTTTCCCCCACCCCCCCACTGCCTCAGTATATGCCAGTGTCTGGATAAAAAGGTCACATTTGCCACACTACAATAGTTGGCAGAGTCTTACTTTTTTAATAAATTAAAATAGCAATTTTGATTACAAACAGTGACTATTTTAAACTGAAATATATTGTTGCTTTTTAAAAATAGAATTTCAGAAACTAAACATTTCAAATTTTTATTTTTGCTTTTTTTTTTTTTTTTTTAAATCACTACCAATGCAGATACGGGTGATGCTTGAAAAGTTAGAATATCGTACAAAAGTTCATTGGTTTCAGTAATGCAACGTAAAAGGGGAAACTAATATATGAGATGGACAAATTGCATGCAAAGCAAGATAGTTCAAGCCGTGATTTGTCATCAGTGCTAAGATTATGGCTTACAGCTCATGAAAACCCCAAATCCACAATCTCAGTAAATTAGAATATTGTGAAAAGGTGCAATATTCTAGGCTCACAGTGTCACACTTTAATCAGCTAAGTAAGCCATAACACCTGCAAAAGGTTTCTCAGTCTGGTTCAGTAGGAATCTCAATCATGGGGAAGACCGCTGACCTGCCAGTTGTGCAGAAAACCATAATTGACACCCTCCATAAGGAGGAAAAGCCTCAAAAGGTAATGTTCCCAAAGTGCTGTATCAAAGAACATTAATAGAAAGTTATGTGTAAGGGAAAAGTGTGGAAAAAAAGGTGCACAAGCAGCAGGGATGACCGCAGCCCGGAGAGGATTGTCAGGAAAAGGCCATTCAAATGTGTTGAAGATTTTCATAAGGTGTGGACTGAGGCTTGAGTCAGTGCATCAAGAGCCACCACACACAGACAGATCCTGGACATGGGCTTCAGATGTCGTATTCATCTTGTCAAGCCGCTCCTGAACAACAAACAACGTCAGAAGTGTCTTACTTGGGCTAAAGAAAAACAGACCTGGTCTATTGCTCAGTGGTTCAAAATCCTCTTTTCTCATGAGAGCAACTATTGCATCTCATTTGGAAACCAATGATGGAGAGGCACACAATGCAAGTCCAGTGTGACGTTTCCACAGTCTGTGTTGATTTGGGGAGCCATGTCATCTGCTGGTGTTGGTCCAACACAGCTATCTACATGCTTCCTGCTTCCTTCTGTAGACGAGCTTTATGGGGATGCTGACTTCATTTTCCAGCAGGACTTGGCACCTGCCCACACTGCCAAAAGCATCAAAGCCTGGTTCAATGACCGTGGGATTACTGTGCTTGATTGGCCAGCAAACTCGCCTGACCTGAACCCCATAGAGAATCTATGGGGCATTGCCAAGAGAAAAATGAGAGACATGAGACCGAACAATGCAGAAGAGCTGAAGGCCGCTATTGAAGCATCCTGGTCTTCCATAACAACTCAGCAGTGCCACAGGCTGATAGCTTCCATGCCACGCCGCATTGAGGCAGTAACTGCTGCAAAAGGGGCCCAAACCAAGTACAGAGTCCATATGCATGCTTATACTTTTCAGAGGTCCGATATTGTTCTATGTACACTCCTTGTTTTATTGATTGCATGTAATATTCTAATTTACTGAGATTGTGGATTTGGGTTTTCATGAGCTGTAAGCCATAATCATCGCACTTATGACAAATCACGGCTTGAACTATCTTGCTTTGCATGTAATGCATCTATCTCATATATTAGTTTCCCCTTTTACGTTGCATTACTGAAATAAATGAACTTTTGCACAACATTCAAATTTTTCGAGTATCCCCTGTAATGTGTAATGAAAATGTGCATGAAATCCAGATTGGTATACTCAGGTCTTATGAAACATCAGCACAATAAAAACAAACAATATACTCACGCTGTCCTCGGAAATGGACTGTCTACAGAGTTCTATGAGAAAAGAGAAGGGGGAAAAGGTAATTCGTCAAGAGAGTTCAGTTACTCATTTCCTTGCTTTGTACATACAAGCAATTCATTTAAAAGATGGGCTTTTTTTTTTTTTTTTGTTAGGTGTATTTGTCAACACCAACACCCTGAAAGCAATATATGAAATATTTGCTCCATTTGGTGACCCTACAGCACGGGTAAGCAACCTTCGGCACTCCAGATGTTGTGGATTGCAACTCACCTGATGCTTTGCCAGCATTATGGCAATAAGAACATTACAGGAGATGTAGTCTACAACATCTAGAGTGCTGAGGGTGCATACTCTTGCCCCAAAACAATCAGCCACGTTTTTTATTAAGCTTGATTTTGGAGAAGATGAGCAAATTCCCTAGCATCAACAAGATATTTTCCCTTTCAATTTAAATGTAACTGTATTTCTTAAATCAACTGAAATAAAACAGAAAAGAATGTAAGACCCTCACCTTCAGCTTCTCGCAGTTTCTTCATTGCTTCATTTAGCTTTCCCTGACCTATCAGTCCACAGGCAGTATTGTAGCAAAGTTCATATGTGGTCTCTTGCAAGTCAAAGTCCTCCTGCAGCAATATGAAGAAAAAAAATAAATAAATAAAAGCACAATTACAAAACAATGTATGTAGATTACAAGAGTCAAGGGCCACCAGACAATTCACATGTAATTTCATTAAAGGATCAATTACAAATATAAAACGCATTTTTAATGCTGGAGCTTCCTTATCTTTAATAGAACGCACCACCCTCACCCATAAAATAAAACTCTGTGCAGTCTCTTTTCCAAATGCTCCTCCTTTGCTGACCATAGTGATTGTTGAGATTTATCCAATTAAATGCATTTCAGAAAGAAAAACTGGGCACCCAGCTGATCAGATGCTTCTTATGAAGCACTGAATCCAAATAATGCCAAGACTTTCATTTATTGCCTCTAGTGATTATCTGACTGGAAGTTTACATTTGATAGACTGCAGTGGCAGGGTATTTGCACCAAATACACTACAAGATATAGTGGGTTTTGGTGTTTAGTGTCAGTTTAATTAAACCAAAAACAAAACTATTAGTGCCAACTCACTTTATGCATTAACCCCTTAAGGACACATGACGTGTGACATGTCATGATTCCCTTTTATTCCAGAAGTTTGGTCCTTAAGGGGTTAAAGTAACCAAGAGATTTTTTTTTGTATATAAATTCTATACCAGATTCAACTGGTTGGTGCAAATACTTTAATGCAAATTGTGATCATTTAACCAAAAGTACCAGAGTGCCTGGATGCTGTCTTACTTTAAGGGGGTTAAACAATTCCCCAATGGTTTAACCACAACATTGATCCCCTCCTGTACTATTTCTCTCAATGGGTGGCATGTGATAGGCTAGGAGCACCACTGGCTGTTCAGCAAACTCTCCTCATACTGCTCTGGCCAGGAGGTAGGAAGTTAGGAGGCAGAGGTGTCATGTGACAATGGACCAACGTTGGGGTTAAACTGTTGAAAAACCGCTTAACCTCTGATTTTAAAGAGTTACCTCAATCCTTTTTTGGAATGAGTTAATTTTAAGTACAAATGTCTTATTTGGCACTTGTCACCTATATCTTGTCACCAGTTTGTGTTCACGGCAATCTAGATGAGTGACATCTAAAATTGCTCCTAAATCCTACCCTCAGCCCATTTGCTGAGAAGGAGAGAGAGGCTGTACAGAGGGTTGTGGGAGTGGATGGCTTCTACTTGCAGGAGGGCTCACAGAACTGCCTGCAACAGAAGCCAATTAAACCCATAAGCACTACGCAACGCATGCCAAGTAAGGACAAAATATTTTCACAAAATTAGTCACATATAATTAAGTCCCTGCACAAAATCAAAGATTTAAATATGAATCTCTGCACGTACACCAGTCAGTAACTAGCACCACTTATGTACTCTTGGGAAAGCTGCTTAATGATATGTCCTGTGCAACAGGTGGCCAAAAACTTACATGAGAAAATGTACCTCCCTATTTTATTATGTATATATCTTCTGATTCCATTTAAAATATCAATGAAATTGCAACCCAATTGTTTTATCTCAAAGGGACACTATAGGCACCCAGACCACTTCAGTTCATTGAAGTGGTCTGGGTGCAGTGTTACGGTCACACTTGGTACTACACACACTGCAGCACTAAGACAGCCTCTAGTGGCACTTCCAGCTTTCTAGGCCAATTTATTTATTAACTCTTTATTGGTCTAGGTGGTTGGGGTGAGAGGGAGGGGGGAGTGTTTAGAAGGATTGGGGAGACAAAGGGAGCTATGTTAGGTTTGCTTACAAGAAATAAAATTGAAAAAAATATTACCGTCGTCTCTTTCTCCCAAAGACTCAATGCAGCCATGACAGCAGACAAGTTTGTTTTCCTCTCTTCATCATAGTCATCTTGGGAGTTGCGTATGATATCCTGATACACGGACAGACATTCTTTATAGCGTTCCAACCTATACAGCTTGAGAAAGAGAGACAGGAGGATAGAAAGAGGATTTAAGTTGTTTTATAGAATTCAAAATCTGCTGAGCTATATATTGAAGGGCTGGTACTTTGTAACACTTACAACTTGTCCATGAAGCTCTTTCAGTTTGTCAGACTTCTGGGATGTAGATTCTATGGTCTTTAATGCATTTTCAATTCTATTTAACCTGTACTCACAGTATGCCTTTTCAAATGCTATTACATCACTGTTGAGAAACAAAAAAAATTAAGACTTATTCTATTTTTTTTTCCCTTTTGGTTTTAAAGAATTGCTTTATTGCCATGTTAGCGGGTGGCGAACCTTCTAATCACAAAGCCTTATGTTTCAGTAATGTTTTTTTATGTACCATCTGATTTATTCTAGGCATTAAAACCTTTAAAGTAAAGACTTCTAAAAATAAAGTGAAAAAATGTTTTCCAGCCATATCCACTGAACCCATCCTTAAAAGGTAACCTCTCCAACTTAACTGGACAGGAGGGAAGTAGCAGCAGAACTGGTGACAATTCAGGTACATCTTCTCACCCATCCCCATCCCATGCGTAATGGAGGCAGACTCAGCATTCCTCGTGTTAGAAGCTGGATTCATTCCACGCCACACTTGTGCATTAACACATTCATTAGAATTGTACATTTATGCAATTCAGGTGGTTTAAACGAATCAAATTGAATCTACACCTGAACAAATTGATCCGTCCAGTATTAACCAGTGGAGTAATCTCTGCTGCTACTTTCTATCTCTTGGGCAGCAACAGGAGTCTGTGTGGTTTATATATGTATAAAACGCACATGTTTTTACAGAACTTTCATTAGGCACAGTATGGATATTTACGGCAAAGGGAATGATTAATTTGGCTAGGAAATGCTTCAGTATTCGCTTGATTTATTTTTCGTCTTTTCTAATGAATGTTTATTGCTTAGCATTGTCTTTCTGGTGCTTTACTGCTCCCTGCCTGATTGGATTTCGTATAGTGAGTGCTACTGTGGATATCTTTGGAAACCAAGAAAAACACATTTATAACAAACATAATATTTTTTCCCCGGTTAAAGGCCATGACAGTGCACGTTTCCACCCTTGGGATACTTTTTACCAGAAGGAGGGAGACTTTGAATTCTGGATAATTCTTACTTTGGTAAATACCCTTGATGCCAAGAAGGGCTATTTATAATCTGTTTTATGGTTTTCCAGTCCAATTAAGTTAGAGGACCCAACCCTATGGTCAGTGCTGCTATGGCCTGTAACTGGGGAAAGTAAGTATGAATAAATGTGTGTTTCTTTGTTGTACGTTTACATCATTTTCTTGTTAAAATATGTTTATGTAATAGGTACAACTGTGGGCAACTGGTGTAACAGCAGCTTGCATCCTTCACCCTTCATTTAAGCCAATGACATGTTTACTATTTCCACTGATGAGATGTAGTCATATGCATATTCTTACTACAAGATTAGTCTATTACCGTCCCATTCTTTAGGGGTGCCTTAACTCACTCCCATAAGCAGTTTTCTAAATCCAGTCCTTTAGGCTCTACAGTCCGTTACTGGTTTGTTTAATAAAATTTCCACATTATCATGGAGGCAGCAAACGGGATGGGAAAGCCTTTTTTTTGTCAAACTGCTCTAAAAACAGACTGAGAAAAAAAAATGGAGAGGGCTGCATTCTAACAACTACAAATACAACTGTACTGGTTATCATGCTTAAAATGTCCCTTTAATATTAGGCATAACATCATTCAAAGAGATACTTTTTAAGAGTCAATCCCTTGTAGATAATCAAGCATAGTGAGATCAACAGTTCTACATGTAATGTTTCTCCAGCAATAAGTTACCTTGATAGAATTTTAGTGTTGGTGTGAATCACATTTAGGGCTTCCTTAAAGCTTCCATTCTGAATTAAGCATACTACTTTACAATGTAGAGCCGTTACATCATCTTTTGCCACCTGCAATACTAAAAAAAAAAAAAAAAATACAATTATTTACCTGACAAGAAGTACAAATTGTTTTAAATATGGTTAAAAACCACACTCCAACACCTGATATAATTACGCTTTTGGCAGAATAACTTCTTCACAGTTTTTAGGGTGCGAGGAGGTCTTATTTGCCGTCTTACCTTAAAGGGACACGTTAGTCACCAGCACCACTACAGTTTAATGTAGTAGTTCTGGTGTCTATAGCATTGCCCTGCAGCTCAGCAATGCACACACTGCCTTTTCAGAAAAAAAGGCTTTGTTTACATTGCTGCTTAGTAACACCTCACTTAGACGGCCAGTAGAGATACTTCCTATTTCAGTGCTACATTTTGTGCAACACCTGCATTCAGCATCTCCACGCTCTGCATGGAGACAATGAACACCCCCCTTAGAGATGCACTGATTCAAAGCAAATTGATGCAGAGCGGCATTTTGCTGTATATGTGGAATAATCTTTAAATGGTTTCCCACAGGAATGGAATATTACCAGGATTGAGCTCAGCTATGGAGCTGGGGCCATCCGTGGCGAGACCAGTGAGGCAATGTTTTCAAGGTGAGTAAACAACATTCTGAAGGGGGGCGGACTCCTAAACATGTAGTCCAACACTATAGTATCCTTGAAATTGCTGTTAACAGTTTAGATCCATACTATGGAAAATAGTGCCCAATCACCACTCTACCCCTTCACTTCATCTGAAGTTCTCTAACAGGGGCAAAGCGATCTCGCAGTATTCAAAAAGGAAATGCTGTTGTTGTGAAATTGGTGTCCAATATCTCCACATGTGCAATAAACAAGGTTTATAAAGAACCAACCAGTTATAAATGTTAACATTGTTACCATATGTTTAAATGCACAAAAAAAAAAAACATTGAAAGAATAAATCAATAAATTATTTTATTTACCACGGAAGTACATACAGCAGCTACACAGAGGGTTATTAACTAAACTCTGAATTGTTGTATTTTAAAACCAAATGGCAAAACTGAAGCAAAAGCATCAAGCTGTAACTACGGCTGAGCTGACAACATTTTCAGATCAGCTATTTCTGTCGTTTTTGATTTCATTCACATAAATTTGGAGTTTAGCGAGTAACTGACAGATCTCAAAGTCTATGCATGTGCGCACACAAACTTTGAATAACTTGTTTCGAAATTGAACATTACCAAGATTATTTACTAAACTGAGAATTGTCAGCAAGTCAAAGTGAATTTTAAGTTTAAGGCTACACTGGAATAATTCTCCAAGTCAGCTACGCTCGCTCCTCTTTTAACCATTTTGGTCTAAAATTTTAAATTTCCATTTTTCACATTAGTAAAATAACCATGTGAGTTAACCCCCCAACGTTCACACTAACACAGCCCCCCCATTCACTCTAACAGTCATTCACTACTACAGTCCCCATTCCACTCCACACTAACACAGTCCCCCATTCACTCACACTAACACAGTCCCCCATTCACTCACACTAACACAGTCCCCCATTCACTCACAATACTTGGCCCCATTCACTCACAATAACACAGCCCCCATTTCACTCCATCATTCACTCACACTAACACAGCCCCCATCATTCCACTCACACTAACACAGCCCCCATCATTCACTCACACTAACTAGCATCATTCCTCACACAGCCCCATCATCCACTCACACCCCCCATCATCCACTCACACAGCCCCCATCACACACAGCCCCCCATCATCCACTCACACAGCCCCCATCATCCAGCCCCATCATCATCATCATCATCATCATCATTCACTCTCACTGTAACCCAGCACTAGCAGCTTACTCTTAGTCAGGGATTTCAGGGCCCGGGTGTAATCCCCGTTCTGTCCTGCTTTATTCACTTCGCTCCATAAAGAAGCCAACAAGGCGTTGCCAGCAGCCGCCCCGGAGCTCGCCATATTCCACCTCAAAGGGAGTCGGGGGTAGCAGCCGAAAGTGTGTGGAAAAGAACGTCGGCTTTTGATGACGTAGCGGCAGCGCTGTGAGCAGCGCCATGTTTTCTGTGGGCAAAACTCAGTTTGTCTCGTTCACCTGCACAAAGGATGATCAGGTGCTCTCTCGCAAAAAAATACACAGACAGACAAGCTAACAAAGCGTCTGATAGAGGGATTATGCAGGAAGCTCAAATACTTTACTTTCTAACTGGTTAAGAAGTGTAATAGTTTATTTTCCCCTTAGCAAAGATGGCTGTTGGTATATTCCCTGACAGATCACATGATCTCAAAGGACACGTTTCAAACGCTCCCCCTCCCAACGTGCACTTCCTTTTTCCGGTCGCGTGCACGCGGCAGATACCTGTGCTTTCGGCTAATGGGGACGGGGTGGGCTGGGATATTATGAGATGGATTGAGTTATAATAGGGTGGGAAGGGATATAATATTGTGAGGTTTGAGATGATGGGGTGACGGGAGAGGCTGCTGGACATCTTTTGGGGAGGGGGGTTCAGGTTGTACAAAATATGGCCCCATAAACCAACCATGTGAGACCTAGTAGCTCTACAAACCCTGAGTCACACCACAGGTGAAAACCAAAACACTTGGTACCCCACTGAAGTCTCAGAGATGAAAATATTTTGGGCATTGACCATGGTGATGGGTATATCAAAACACACATAGATATATATGAATAGTCCTGCTAGCATAAGCACTCCGTAGTGGCTGCCACTCTTTTTCCAGGGATGACGATAAGGGATAGATATGAGTAACTTCTTTGGTTCCCCCATTTTAATGACACATTCTATGACCAACTATACCGCTTCTTATCAGACACCTTTTTCAGTTTTCTGAAAATAACTCCTGAACAAAATGTGGGTATCGATGAATCTTTGATGAAATTTAAAGGAAGATTGCTTTTTAGTCAATGTATCCCATCACAGTGTTCACGATATGGGATTACATTTGACACATTATATGAATTCGGTACTGATTATATGTGGGCATTTGGCAATTATCAAGGGAAAGATTGCCATCGTGATCCACTAGAGTACCTTTAGTATGTGGGCACAAATGGAAAGATTGTAGGGATTTCATTTCCTTGATGAATAAAGGCTACCGTCTGTGGTTTGACAATTATTAGTGCAGTATTGATTTGTTTAAAAAAATTACTTTGTTTTGAAACCATAGACTGTGGCAAAGTGCAGAAAAAAAAAATGCAGAGGTTTCCCTGACAAGCAAACAAGTGGTAATAACCGAAGAAGCTCAACAGTACAATGATAAAAAAGATGTTTACGTGCTCTTAACAAATCACGGTGCCAGATTGTGTTAAGGGAACGGATTACTAAGTAGAAAAACGAAAGTGCTTTGTACAGTATAGAAAAACATGGAGCAAGTAGATTTGGCTGATCAATGCATATTACCTGGTATAAAAAACTGTGATAAACCCAACCAAGATTGCAATCTACAATTCATATATGGTGTACAAACACGAAGCCACAGGAAAGCCATACTCTACTTGATTTTACATCAAAACCTTTATTGGATATTTTATTTACCCACTTCCTAAGACTTTGTGTCAAGCACTTTGCTTCTGAAATCTCCCCAGCCTGCAAAACATCACTTCAGAGAAAGTGTTGAGTATGCTACAAAAAAGGAGTTAGGAGGGACTTTTGGTATTACTGCCTATCCTGCCCATTTCTACCTGGCCTATGTATTACAGACTGTTTAGAGCTAAACTATTGAGCCAAATAACTGTATGTGACTTAACTTATTGGTTATTCTGGATTCCAGGCCTTGGTTTGTCCTGATTACTGTCAGTTGCTTCTGCTGACTTATTGACTTGTTACACTGAGTGCTCTGAATTCATTGATGAGGTTGTGGGATTTTGTGTGTATATCCTGGTTTCATCCCAGAAATAGTTTGGTTGGGTTTTAGACCACATTATTAATATCTGGTGATAGATATGGGCAGTTGTCTTATATCCAGAGGGAGAGGCAAAGAAAATATGAAACCGTTTAATGATTTTGCAAAGCCACAACCAATTAGACGCTTGGATGAATTGTTTAAAACAAAAGAAAAACGACTAAACCAAGACTAAAACCAAGAAATAGTGGGAGATTGTATTCCTTGAAAGTTATTTGAAGGAAAGGCTGATCCCCAGAGGTTTACAAATACCTGCCTTTGGGCAAGATAATGAAACCTTTCTTAAAAAAAAAAAAGAAAGAGTGGGATGAAGTGTTGTTTAATTGTTCCGTTCAATTGATTAATTTAATCATCCAATATTCAAAAGAAATGAAAGAGTAAGATCGCCAAATGAAAGAAACTTATAACCAATTTTTTTCAACCATGAAGGGACAATGGGAGCATTAAAACCGCTACTCAGCCCTTCACACAGATTCTACACAAAAAAGGAGAGTAGCAACAGATAAGGAGAGGGTGAACAGAAGGGATGCACTCTACCATTAAATGAGGGAACAGAAAGGCATTTTTAATTTAACAAAAAAAAAAAACACTAACAAATTTAGAAATTCAAATACTACAAAGAGGTCTTAAAGGGACTCTCCAGGCAGAGCTTTTTACTCACCTGGTTCCAGCGTCGGGAGCCTTGTGAAGCCACGCACCCTATTTCGTCAAAATGACGAAATAGGCGGGCGCGAGCAGGGAGCGAACAGACTCTTCCATTTGGAAATGTCATTGCTCCCTTATGCGCATGCGCGGTTTTGCCGCACATGCGCACATACTTCATAGGGCGGCATTTGTGCCGCCCTATGAAGTCCTGAGCGCAGCCACGAGCTGAGCTGATTCACAGCTCAGCTCGTGGTCTTTGCCCTCTCCTCTGCTGACAGGCAGGAGAGAGAAGGCGCGCACACATTTTCTCTGAAAATACAGTGTTTACATTAGATTGCCTGCAGGGAGCTATAGCTCTCACCTGAACAACTACATTAAGCTGTAGTTGTTCAGGTGAATATAGTGTCCCTTTAAATTTGCACCCAACCAAAAAGCTAATTCTTTGGAGTTATTTGTACATCTCCAAAAAACTATTAGGATGTTAACCATTAAGAGACACTTTCAAAAGCCTTCGAAAAAAATTAAATAAGGAAGCAATGGGTCACATGTATAAGCATGATCGTTTCAGAGGAAATTTTTTTTTTTTTTTATCCTAGCAACAGCAAAAGGTCACATCTAGAAACATTTTTCAAAATGGGTAATAGGGAATTTGGTAATATTAATCAGAGTAACATTTTAAAAACAAATTTAACCAAGTAAGAATCTTTTAGGTTTATTAAATTTATCAAATAGAGGAGATATAATAAAAGAAGCCGATAAAGGCAGGTGGATTGTTATTATCACAAAAAAATATTATTCCCAGATGGATATAACATTAGAAGATTCAGGACCTAATGTGGAGTTAAAAAAATAAAAATTCAACAAAATAATTCTGAAAGGATTTTTAAAAATGGTGTTATCACAAGTTATCATTTTCACAAGCAATCCCAATTTTTGTATTTAAAAAACAGAACAAAAAAACTTTTTACTTAAAATCCATAAATCCCTTAATGCCCCTCCTGGACTTCCTGTCATCGGCATCCAAGTTATCCGCTTTTATTTATCTTTATTTACAGAAGTATGTACAAAAAGCCATGCTGTATTAAAGATACGAACACTATCCTCTATGAATTGGTTAACATAGAATGGGAACAAGATTATAGCTGGGCTACCCTAGATGTTTCTTCTATACACTATAATTAAACATAATTTAGGTATTAAAGCAGTAGATTGTTTGTTAGAAGATGAATACATTTCTGCAACGCTGGGTGAGTTTATTTTAAAATCTATTGATTTCCAATTAGAACACAATGTTTTCCTTGAGAATGTTTTATATACAGATCACAGGGAATGTCATGGGGACCAGGTTTGCCCCCAGCTATGCCAACATCTACATGAGAAGGTATGAGGAATTATCTGTGTGGTCTTAGCATTGCTGCTGGAGTAGCATGTCCTATGACTGAGGTTTATTAACAATGTACTTATTATTCGGAAGGAATCTGAAGATTTATTCCTTAACTTCGTGGGTTATTTAAATAACAAGTCTTATTTGAAGTTCACATCGAGTTGCACAGGAAAAATATACATTTTCTAAATGTGACCCTTTCAAGTAATAGTCTCGAAAATGTCTTCAAAATGACTCTTGGGAACAGTATCGTGCATACAAAGCGATGTCACCATGAGCTCTGACTCAAAGGGGATCGCTATAAGCCAACTGACAAGAATCAGATGAACTTGTTCGGAACTTAATGATTTTAAACAGGCATTAGTCATTAAAAACAAATGAATACGATAAGAACACTCTGGATAAAGAGATTGTGTTGCAAAATAGGAAATATCTGCTTGTGGATAAACCTAGTATTACAAGGGCATGTAGAAAAGTTTGAACATTTCTTTATTACTAGGCATAAAGCTAAACACTCACTAATAAGAAAGTCATTAGATGTATACTCCACCACTAGATTAAGGGGTTAGATCCCTCACAAATTAATTGAGAAACAAAAATGTGGATTCAATAAAACATAATCTTAAAAAAAAAAAAAAAATGTAATTCAAAAGGCAACTTTTGCCAAAGTAAAAATAAAGTTAATTGGATATTTGTAATGAGTTATAGACTCTAAGTAGTTAATATTGATTAGTAGAACAAGAGAAAACAATGAAATACCAAATTAGTTGAGAAGAGTAATAACATGAATAAATGTTATCCCAAAAACCCTTATTTGATATGGATGAGTCCAACACCTGAACATCACCCAAATTTAAGGTAGTGCCCATTATATTCTCATAAGCAAAAATGAAACTATTAAAGAGTGAAAGCAAAAATAAACTCTCCTGAATGAACAGTAATATCAAACATTACAGATGACTTGCCCTTATATACAGTAATATCTCGGGTAATAATCTCCCTAGTAATCTTACTTAATTCCTGGAGAATAGTAGAAATAATATTAAGATCTAAAAATATATATATACAGATATAGCTATTGATCCAGTTATCTCTATCTATCTTACAAATCCTGTCAAGAAACCATCAGTGGTAAAGTTATAGTTGGAATAAACATCTATAAATAGAATAATATATACGTACATTCAAAAAAAGACTGTCTCCACTGATTTAAAACCACACTGATATAGTCTGACAGATCCAATGTATAGGAATAAAGGCTTGCTACAGCTGGTCCCAGAGAATTGGACTTCATTTAATATACATTGTTTCAAAGAGTGTTTGCAGTTACATATGTGCATCCATCAGATCAGGGCCGGTGCAAGGATTTATGCCGCCCTAGGCAAAATAAAAATTGCCACCCCCCCACCTCCCCACACCTACCTTTTGGTTCAAGACACTGACAAATTGCACAAAAGGCAACAATGTAAAATAAAGTGCGAATTTAAATAGTTTAATAGATTAACGTTCTGAAAGTGCAATACAACATACAGTTGTTAAGAGAAAAACACATGGCCACATTTATATTATAGTGGCATACTTGCATAATATAAGTGCAACAATAGAAATGGTATGGTCAAAGAACCCCAAACACATAGCAAAATAAATATATAAATGCAGCATACAATTTAAGTGCTAAACAACTTTGTAAACAGCTTAAATACTTTCTAACAGTTATTCTATCTAATTAAATTTAACTTTTCTTGCTTTGGCACTTGCAAAGTCCTTCAGTAATGTTTCAAAGTCAATCTCCTCTGCCGTCCGATTCTCTATTGCTATCATGGCAAGTCCCACAAGCCGTTCTTGGGACATTGAAGAAAGAAGATAATTTTTTATAATTTTCAGTTTCGAAAAGCTTCGTTCACCTGTGGCAACAGTGATTGGTAAGGTCAACATAATTCGAAGTGCAATTGCCACATTTGGAGCAAATCCATTCCTCACTGTGTAGGCCAAAATATCAACAGGTGTCATCGTAGCTTTTATAACAGGAGCCAATACAGCAAGTTCTTCACACAGTTGCCTTCCATCTACATCAGACTCCTTTGATTTTACATTGGTTAAGACATTCTGCAATTCCATGCAGAACTGCAGGAGTTCTTCTTTTTGCACATCTTTTAGCTTGTGGATGTCATACAAAAATTGAAAATGCGTGGAATGAAATTTAAGCTGTTCATATCTTTCATGTACAGATTTTATTGTTGTCTCTAATATTGTGAAGAACCATTCCACTTTAAATTTATTTTTAGGTTCTAAGATAGGGTCATCTGGAACCTCATACAAAAACAACCTTTTTTTTTTTCCTCGTCTGATGTACTTGAGGGGGGAACACTGGGTCTATTTCCATTTCCACTGCTAGCTGTCCTGCTTCTTTAAGTAAATCCTCAAAACCATCATCTGTCCGATAAGATTGAAAAATTGTCTTGATTGATTCCAAAAGTTCCACAACATCGGGTAAGTAAATTGACTGGCTTTGAAGAACTTTGCTGACAGAATTAATTCGACTTAGTATGTTAAACCAAAGGATGATTAAACACAATAATTTAAACTTGTTTAACTCTTTTGCCAAGGATGAAGCCTCGATTCTTGCAAGAGCAGCAAAATTCATATCACCTCCGATTTCAATTAAGGTGTCATACACTTCTCCAACATGGAACCTAAATGGCCAGATAGCATCAATTTTGACCATCTAGTATCGGATAGCGGCTTAACTGTCAGCTTACTCACATGCTTTTTTAGAACATCCCATCGATTTGTTGAAACTGATAAAAAAAAAAATATATATTTTCTGAACAATGCCAAAAAATGTACTGGCATCCCTACAGCACATAGCAGCTACAAGATTTAAGGAATGAGCACTGCAGGGGACATAGAAAGCACATGAGTTCAGGTCCATGATTCTTTTTTGTACTCCTGAGTGCTTTCCCTTCCTGTTGGAGCCATTATCATACCCTTGACCTCTCATATCACTGAGTGGTATCTTCAGCATTTCAAGCTCATTCAAAATTGCCTCTGTTAATCCTTCTCCAGATGAGTTGTGAACTGGCAGGAAACCAAGAAATCTTTCCTCAATGTGTATTTCAGGATTTGCAGTTGGCGAGTCTCCTTGCTTAACAGATACAAACCTGAAAACCATAGTCATCTGTTCAACAAGAGTGATGTCAGGGGTGCAGTCAAGTATAATGGAATAGTACTTGGCATCCTTAAGCAACCGTAGAATGCGTCTCCGTATTTCTTTTGAAATTAAACCAATTAGTTCATTTTGGATGTCTTTTCCTAAATAATGCTGATGAATTTCTGAATTCTGTATCTTTTTCAAGTGGCTTTGCATCACACTATCAAATGTTGCCATCATTTCGACAAGTTTCAAGTAATTTCCATTATTTTCAGAGTACAGCGTGTCACTGCTGCCCCTGAAGGCCAAGCACTGCTTCCCAAGATATTGAACAATGGCTACAAGCCGCTGAAGAACATTCTGCCAGTGCTGCGTTTCAGTTGCCAATAATCTTTGGTATGAATGGTCAATAGTACTTCCAGACCCAAGCCTTGTTAACAGTTCTGTCCAGTTTCCCATAGCAGTGAGGTGAGATGGAGACACTTCATGTGTAGCCAGACACTGGGACAAATTTTTCCAATCATTGTAGCCTCCCGTAGTCAGGCTCATTTTCGTAGTTGTAAAGAGTTTACAACAAAAGCAAAATATTTTGTCCAGTCTAGGAGAATAACTAAGCCACTTTCTAACATGCACTTCACCATTTCCAAGGCGCCGTCTATAGTGGGTTGATGTAAACCGTCTCTTGGATGCATCTTTAGGAAATGCAAAGTGCTCTTTTGGCTTTGCCGGACCTTTCAGAACGATGGTTTCTTTTATTGAGCTAGTAAGCATTTCAGGCCAGTCAGCTGGATCAAAGAGGTCTGCCAGCGTGCTTTTTCCATTTTCATCTTCTTCTGATGATGATGATGATTTCGGTGAACTCTCTTCCTCGGTGTTTATCACTTTCTATGCCCAAAGAATGGGGGGGGCGGAGCCTAGCAGCCAAGCCGAATGGCCGCACATCAGAGGAGCTCCTCGAAAAAACGACTGAATTAAGCTTAAAAAGTGACAAACTCTAAAATTGCCTACACTTCAGCCCACAAGAAGAGGGCTCACCAGAGAGGAAGCGCTTCAGCGAGTCAGCGGCGGACACAAAACTGCATACCGGGGATTGACCTGAGACCCATAAGCGGCCTACACGGATGGCACGGGGGAGGCGGCCGATCCCTCTGCTAACTGCTGCCAAACTACTTGGAGGTCTCCCTGACACATTCGCTCCCCCCCCCCTTGCCGGAGAAGGATATCCCGGCACACGGCTCACGCCTCAGGTGCACGGCAATACTCCAGAATACTTACCCTGCAGGTCCAGCACTACACAACATGGCGGAGGCCACGTGCCAGCCAGAACACAGAGCCTCATTGCCGCCACTCTCGGAGAGGCTGGACCGCCTGTTGGCCGACTTCTGGGCAAAGCTATTGGGCCACGGGAGTGCTACAACAGCGGCACCACCGGCAACAATCTCACAGACCGGCGGCTCCAGAAGTGGGCGCAACAACTACAGCTTGGAAGGCTGGGAGGAGAAGGCGGGAGACTCGACACAAGCCATGACGGGTCAGCAACAGACTGTCAGTGGTGAGTTACCCACCTGACAAGCAGCAAGCTCCGAGTCTGCCCGCCCGAACCCCCCTCTCTCTCATGGAGACCATCAATCTGCCCGGGTGAAGACATCCCGTCAGACACCCCCAGACTCCCAGACACGACTCAGCCCAACACCTATGCTTGATAAAGATGGGAAGCAAGGGGGGACCTTACCAGATGGCCCCGACCGCAGACTCCAGCCACCACCAGCTCCACAACCCCAGCCAGAGACAACAAGCCCACAGCAGTCTCACCACAGGTCAGGGGACTTTTGCCACCTTACCCTTGGACCACATCCCGGCAGGGAACTGGAAGCACATCGACTGGGGGGACCCCCACCGACCACTACTTCGGGCACCAAACCTAAAGCTGACGGGGATCGGTTAAACTTGGACTTGGCATCACTTAATAAGAATGCTACACATTAGGCTCACCACGATGTGTACACTTAAATGATGCCTGCACCTGAGCTAGTCACCTTACTAGCAAGCAACATATTTTGAATATTTTGAATAATAGCTATAAATAGCTTAATAATCAACATGTAGAAACTCTTAAGCAACTACCAGTACACCTAGCATAATCTGCAATAGGAACACCTTACTCTATAGCACTAAACATATATTACTCTGCTATGTTTAATCTTGTACTTTACTTTCTATATGCAGCAACAACACTTAGATAAGCAATGTTATTATATATAAAACTGTGCAGTATCCACTAATGCCTAACTACTGTCAAGCTATGTCGAAAAATGCTTACTCTAGCTGTTGTGGCATTGTAAGCCAGATGTGATTTATCTATGCACAAATAAAATAAAGAATAATAAAAAAAAAAAAATAACTATTGTAGAATAAATGTACATCAAAAATTATTAATATTCAATTAATATTCTCTTTGATGATCATTAAACCACAATAATACCTGAAAATCATTTAGAAACCTACTGTACATATGTGCGCACGTGTGGGAGTGTGAAAGACGCAAAAATATATGTGTATGTATGAGAGCAGTTGATGTAAACATGAAGAATTAAAAATGGAGAGGGCAAGTGAGAGCTAGCACCCCCCATGCACAGACACACAATCATACCGCGTCACAACATAATTACACACAGTCACAAACATTCACCTACAGTCATACCTGGTCAGTCACATTACAAAGTAATTCAATCTTCTATCTGGGTCCATGCAACAAAATGTAATGGGTAGTTACTCTGTGTACCCCCTCTGAACTATTCCTATCGCCCCTTGTTGGCACGCTACTGAAGTGACCATGTTTCATCCTCAAAATACAGATTAGGGAACAGTGCACAAAATAAATCCAGTTTTAAATTTTATGAAGCTACTTAAAATCACCACTACTAGCAAAAAAAAATAATTGTGATTCAGTTACACCATATGGCGATATCCATCACTATGTTACAGTTCCCAAATATCCCCATCCCCCCACCCCACCTCCATTTGGCTACTGTGACATTCACTTTGATTCCCAAAAATTCACACTTTTAGAAACGAACCTAATAAAATATAGTTCAAATTGTACATTTCATTAAAGAGACATTTTTTATGAACCATTACCACTACATAGCATAGTGGTCTGACATGACATCGCCCCCCATGTAAGTAGTCAAACCGTATTAGAGCAGTTTGACTTCTTACCTTACATGGCCCTACCTTCACTACATCAGCCAAAAGCCAGAAGATCTCTGCATTACGCAAGAGTGGGCACGGTTGATGTAGTGGAGGTGGAGAGCAGCTTATAGGAACACTGTATCGTCAGGAACACTATAGACCTGTATCCTGTTACATTAGAGCATCCCCCTCCAACCTCTGTGTGTGGTCATAAAGCGATATTAAGTTTTTCCCCCACACAGATCATTAACCTTTGCATTTGAAGGCTATTGTGCCTGTGCAGCAAAACACTGCACCAAAAAGCATCTCCTCATACAGATGCAATGAATCAATGCATCTATATGGGAACGTTAAAGGGACTCTCCAGTGCCAGGAAAACATATTAGTTTTCCTGGCACTGCAGGACCCTGTAGTACCCCTCTCCCTCCCACCCCAAGTTGCTGACCGGAGTCCAGCACCGAGGGGCAGACTCTGCCTACTCTCCTCCCTCGCCAACGTCAGCCACGCACGCGCATTAGACCTCCCCATAGGGATTTCGGCGACGCTGGAGGCCCTCACAGAGTCATATAACACACTTTTCGTGTTATAAGAACATGGAAGTCCCTCTAGTGGCTGTCTAACAGTAGAGGAGGACTTAACCCTGCAAGGTAATTATTGCAGTTTATGAACCGCAGGGCGTGGAGATGCTTAAAGGGACACTATAGTCACCCAGTCTACTTCATCTCAATGATTACATTTGGGGTTAAATCTTCCGGACAGCCTTACTATAGGCGCATTTGCAACGCTGGAGGCATTTAATTCCTCCATCGCGCAGAGCGTCCATAGGAAAGCATTCCTATGGACAATTTGAATGCGCGTGCTGCACTTGAGGGGGAGGAGAGGCGCTGGAATAAGGTAAGCTGCTGAAGGGGTTTTAACCCCTTTCAGCACCACGGGAGGGGGACCCTGAGGGTGGGGGCACCCTCAGGGCACTATAGTGTCAGGAAAACCACTTTGTTTTCCTGACACTATAGTGATCCTTTAACACAAGTACTGCACACAGTGTCTTTACTCTGAAAAGATAGACAGTGTTTACCTTTTAAAAGCCTGCAGTGACAGGCTATAGACACCAGAACCACTACATTAAACTGTAGTGGTTCTGGAACTATAGTGTCCTTTTAATGTGAAGTAAAAATAGTTATGTAATAAATATTACAAAAGAATAAAAATATTGGATTTCCTACTTACCACAGATAAGGATGATCTCTGGCTGCAGTCTGGCTCCTGGTCAAATACAGGCTCTGGAGGCTGGGGAAGCAGGAACCAGCTACAGGAGGCACTTGAAGTTGAACATGGCAATTGGCACCTTACCACTTTAAAATCCCCCCTCAAGCGTGCTCAATGGAGGATGGGGTTGGTAGAGGTAGAGGCTCTGCTGTGTGACCTGTCCTGACCCTGAGAGACCACCCACCTTCACTGTTGCATGATGGGTATTATCGTGGGGTGGGCGGTCTCTTGGGGTGGGCCGTGGGCGGTCTCATCTCTCTGCGGCCGGCCGCCCTCCAGGACCATAGAGCAGTGCTGTACTGTGCCGTCTGAGGCTTTCTGTAGCACTCAGGCGGCACAGCATGAAGAGGAGTGCCGCACCGGCCGCCCTCCCTCCCATCCATCCGCCCGCCCTCCCTCGCCGGCGCATCAATTGCTGGCGCCGCCGGCGCCGGTCTCACTTGGAGGCAGAAGCGCTTGCCGACTCCGGGTACAGCAGCAGGGCCGGCGCCCCCTGCTAAGTTGCGCCCTAGGCGGCCGCCTAGGTCGCCTTACAGGTAGCGCCGGCCCTGCATCAGATGTAACTACCCTCAAGAGTTAAAAATCCTTACACTTAACAATGAAATTCTAATTCACTCTTTCAGAAGAGATACGATAGTGTGGAGATGCTGGTAGTCTGAGGACGATGACCCCAGACTCCTAGCCTCTCTGTCGCACCTCTTCAGGAAGTGGGCATGAAATAGGAAATCTATTTCATATGACTGAGTCCTGAAAGAGCCAATGTCCTAAACTGATAAATCCATTTGGACTCTTTTTGCAACAAATTAGGATTAATATCGACTTGAGGTGAGCATTAATAGAATATACATGTTGCAAAATCCTCCTTTGCAACTGCTGAACAGTCTTTCTGATATATTGAGTACTGCAGAAGCAACTTGCCAGATAGATGATATTGGTGGAGGAGCATTTAATGAAAGATTTTAGTCTGTAGGACTTTTTTGTAGTAAAGGATGTTGCTTCTTTAGTCAGGACAATGGACTCAAAGGCCTTACAGAGACCACACCGATAAACACCAAATGTAGGTTTTACACAGGTAGCAGAGTGATATAGGG